GCAAGCTACCTTTATTAAAGTGCTTAACAATCTTCTAAATGCATTATATTTTTTTTATTTACTACAGACACAGATTTACCTATGTAAACATCAGGTCTGCAGGGCGATGCAACGATTCACAAATGTTCCTGAAGTTTAGCCTGGCCAAGAAAATTTGATCTTCACCGTTCCTTCAGAAAAAAACCGGAGTGCCTTTTGCGGACTCGGCTTTTAGATTTTCCCAAACGCAAATGAAGCCCTACCCATTTTTCACAACCGCATCCGTGGAACATCGAAATTTTAATTAAAAGATTGTAATAGGCTAAGCGACTGGTGGAAAATGCTAGGTTCCGATTTATTCGGAAAGGTGTTGACAGGCACCATAAAAAGAATAATGCGGTCATTCTAGCCTGCTGTGATCTACATAATACATTGATTGAACACAACTGCATCATCAATGATAACTGGCAATTAACTGCAAATGACTTGAAAAACAACCAGATCGGAATAATATAATATTATATTATAATATCAAATTTCAGCCAACCGGCAGAGAAAAATAGATCAGCTATCGCACAATATTGCCTAAATGGAAACAAATAAATTTCTTTGAGTATAATAATGTTCGTTTTTGTTTCATTTTTACTTCAAATTTCATTTTATTATCTTTTTAATTCCCATATTTCTTAAAATTAATATCTATTCTAAATTAATAAAATTTTTTGAGCTTCTTAATATCTGCAGCAACTCAATTAAAACCGGGCCTGGCTTTCTGCCATTTTCGCCAGGATATCCGTTTGTGCTTTCTGCTCCTCCAACCTTTCTCTAGCAATCTGCACTTACTCGGCCTTGTGGTCCACCTTAGCCCGATTCGCTGAAAGCACAGTGCTACCTGAGCGTTTGCTCTCGCTGCAGTTGGAGACTTCAATATCGTCGGGCTCCATGCCCAATGCTTACACAATGTTCTCCACAGTGTCTGCAAATAATACATGTTATTAATTACTTGTAAACAACACAAATGGAAACATACAAACTCTCGTTATCCACCGTGTTTTGCTCCATGTGGTTTTGCATTTTGTGGATGCGGAAGGATTTCAAAAATGAGTTCAGCGACTTGTAGTGGTGCCACACAGAAGGAGCCCCCGGTTGGCCCAATTTTATTTTTTTCCTGCCTGCAAGGAAAAATATAATGGAATAGATTGCCCACGCTTATAATTATTACCTGTACTTCTTTGTAAGCTTCTCAGTTTTATAGGACACATCATGTCCAGCCTCCATTATGGTCTGGGCCAGCTCCATGTACACATGGACATTTTTTTGGGTTCCACGCAATTGCTCTAAACTTTCCTGCCAAATGTCTGAGCAGCATCTCCATCTCCAATGTCCACCTCAGCTTGCCACTGGCTGTTCTTGTACCATCGACCTGTTGCATACCTCTTCGGCGCCTTCTATTTTTCAATTGTTCCTAGTCATCATTGTTTACGTTTTCGTTGTGAATGCTTAAATTTTCACTGTCAAGAGGAAGAATTTAGAGTTTGACCGAAAAAACATGGGCTAACTATCGCATAAATTACACCGTCAAAGTTCGTAAATTTTAACTAACTGGGAATTTTTGTAACGGCAAAAGAAATACGTAGAAATACGCTATTAGTGGACATTTGGAAGGAAAAAACATTCGCATTCAGCTATGTATATGGAAGAATGGAAACAGGCACATTTAAAAATACCAAAAACGTCCAATGGCATCATGCTTTTAGATAGAGGACATGTTATTAAAATTGTTTCGCTCAATAATATTGGTGTTGCTTGTTACGAACATCGGCTTAATATTAGTTAAAAAAGTGCTGTTAGAAACAGTAATCCACCATCTAGGACAAGCTGGCACAAACTAACAAAATTGCGCGAACATTTATTTCGTCCAAGCATATCGGATTGTTACAGGCTTATGGACTAGTCGCACAGAGAACCATCCACCATCTCTTTCAAAGATGGTCCGTAAGGTTTTGCCATGCCATGGCTATTATTATGCTATAGTTAAAAACGGTTGGGATTTTTGATAAATGGAAAACTCCGATTTTTACAGAGCATTTCCACCATCAACCCACCGGTAAAAGCTGTTCTAAACAGCTCTGACTCGACAAAACATAAACAAAATCAACAAGTCAACCATATTTGTTTGTGTTTAACTATTGTCTACTATTGCGTAAATTAGTCCGTCAAAGTCCGTCAAATTTTAACGGCGGACTAACTGGGAAATTTCTTGAACGGCAAAACCTTATGGAACTTCCGTTCAACGGATGGTGGGAGATGGATGAATCCCTGTGGAGCAGATATATACAATATTTTTCTTAACAGAGAAATTTTGAGCATTCACTACAAAAACGTAAACAATAATGGCAAGGAGCAATGGAAAAATGAAAGGCGCCAAAACCACAGGTATGCAATATTAGGTTCCTTAAATTTATAGTTATTCACTGGTATTTAATTTCACAATCGGTACTCCAAAATCAGACCGTGGCAAGCTGAGGTGGACTTTGGACATGGATCTTCTGCTCGACAATTGGCAGAAAAACAATGAGCAGTTAAGGGAATCCAAAAAAAAAGAAAAAAAAAATGCAATGTCGTTTTAATGGTGACTGTGAAGTCCTTTGCTAATAATTCGGAACCTGCCATTTTCCTTGCCAGGTACGACTTTTGAAAAATCTTCGGCTGCAGAGCTTATATGGAAAAATCTGTATCTGTAGAATATATAAAATTATTCTGAATTAAAAAGATTGTTAAACACTTAAAATGTAGCTAAGTAGCCTACCTGTAATCCACGAGAGCGAGAATTACATTTGAGTACCAACTTTTGTAGTTATGGTGAGCGACTGCTTCTGCTGCGGTGGGTGTTATTTTGATATGACACTCATCTGATAATAATATATTTTTATAACCATTTTATAAATTGATATCTTTCCAAGTGAATCCCTTGACGTCTTCGTTCACTTTTTTTGCGAGTTAGAAGTCGGATGACATAACCTCACATGCAAACTCGATAATGAGAGCCGGACCCTATTCAGGGAAAATTTGTTCGTTTTCTGCTTCCGCAGAATTCTACTCAATCCACCAAAAAACCAAAAGGTCCTCCGTCTGAAAGCTTTCTTTGAAAAAATCGTCGTTGTTTTCAGGTATTTTCTTCTCCCGAAATGCCCCGTATCGTTTAATTTTAATATTAAAGTCCTACTTAACCGTAATTTATAATAAGAGGACTCACCACCATCCAAATACTTCGTGATATTGCTCTTTGGTAGAAAAAATGACTTTGAACTGCTCCAATTCGTCGTTATTCAAATATTTTGAATATACTGCCAAAATAGTTGGTATATTGTTTATTGTTATCACTCAGAACCCGCTTTAATAACACAGAACAACAAAATAGGACTTTGTAAAAGGTGTAGCATTCTTTTTACAATAAAATGTTAGTATAGACTTATCTGTTGACATTGTTTACGTTTTGACTAGCCGCAGTATTTCAGATCAGCTGAAAAAAGAAGGTATATGTGCTCTGTGGACACCGGAGTTTCATTTTTTTCAAAAATCCCTACGGTTTTTCAGGGAGGCACCACAGAAATATCGGCTAACTATAGCATAAATTGGTCCGTCAAAGTCCGTCAAATTTTAACGGCGGACTACCGAGGAAATTTTTGGAACGGCAAAACCTTAAGGAACATCTCTTCAACGGATAGTGGAAGGTGGATGGATCTCTGTGGAAATACACTATTAGAAACGAAAATCAAGTAGACAGATATGCTCTGATAAACAAACTTTACACCAACAGTGTTTTTGGTATATGTTTTGATGAGCCACAGCTGCTTAGATCATATGCTTATGACACTACTTTGTTGGCCTATTCGTTGCTCATAATTTTTTTAACTAAACGATTTTACATAAGTGCGAGCAAGTCAAACGTTTGACGATTTCAAATTATGAATGAAGAAAATTGACAAGGCCAGATACCCAAGAGTAAAAATAAGTGTTTTAAAAAAGTTCAATTTTGCTCAGTCATTAGAGTTGACGACAAAACGGAAAAGTAGCAACTGAAAATTTTTAAACGCTAATATAAGCGGGAAAAGCACAAAAAAGTAAACGAAACAATAAAGTTTGAATTTAACTTTAAAAGGCAGTGTAACCGTGAACTGATTTCCAAAAAAACCTCAAACAGTATAATGGTTTCTGTCAATGAATAAGGCGAACAATGTAATGAAATAGCTTGATTCTATTGGCGCATTTTAACGCATTTAGCCTAATGCGCATTTATTTACACAGGGAATACCAAAAGAACAAATGCCGTATTTAAAATAAGTGCGATAATTAAATGCGATTAAATACTATTCGCCCAGAACGTTTTAAGAATAAATACCAGAAAATACCGATGTTTAACGATGTTTTGTTGTGCCATTACTACAACAGCTGTTTTCAATATGCAAGGTTAGCGCAATTTTTGATATCTTTTGAATATAAAATCTATTTTGTTTAAAAACTACTAAAACCAAGAGCGCACGCTTCAAATTCTGCTCGTAGGAACTCAATGCATTACTGCTGGATCTCTGGCATAAAATAACTCCCACATATACGGGGATCCTTTCCTTTTTTGTAAACTGTGCTAGTCTCCATTGCAAACTCGTTAATCAAGAGCATCTTGTTTCTTGCTTGTCGTCCAAGTTGGCAAACGCCTCGGTCACTAATATTCATTATTTTTAATTAATTTCTTTCGGATTTTCCAAAATTCAAAAGTAAAGAAATTCAGATCAGCTGTTCGTGCCACTCACATGTCGGAGTAGCTGTAGCTAAATGCTAAATCAGGCACATTTAAAAAGTCCACTAATGCGGCAATGGAATCAGGTTATTATACCCGTATCAGGTGTGGCTGTGTTCTGTGGGACTCGCGTTTCACATTTGTAAAAATCCCAACCGTTTCCAACCGATGTACTGTGTGGGAATAGGGTGTTAGAAAAATATTTAAGAGGTATATTTTAGTACTTATTCTAAACCCGTGTTGAATGCCTCTCTCTTTTCTTTCTTTTCGCTAGCAGTTTCCGGCAAGGTGCGTGCAATCATTTTGTGCTCCACGTTATTTAATAATAATTTGTTTCCATTTTTAGCGGTGATAAATATTTTTATCGAGGATAAAAATGGTGGGTTCCTGTAAAGGAGAGGAACACTTTTGTTAAACTTGAAAACATTGTTTAAATAACCTGCAACAGTATTCCACGTGTAGGGATAAAAAAATTTCTACTGTAAAAAATGTTGACCTATCAGTCGAATTCATTTTCTAACTGAATTTTATATCTGTTTGTATGCGTTGCTTGTGCAGGGTTTCGTTAAGGTAGTCAAGAACAAGCAGTACTTCAAGAGGTATCAGGTCAAGTTCCGCAGGCGTCGGGAGGGCAAGACTGATTACTACGCTAGGAAGCGTTTAACGTTCCAGGACAAGAACAAGTACAACACTCCCAAGTATCGTTTGATTGTGCGTCTGTCCAATAAGGACATTACTGTGCAGATCGCCTACGCTCGCATCGAGGGAGATCGCGTAGTCTGCGCTGCATATTCCCATGAGCTGCCCAAGTATGGGGTTCTGGTGGGTAAAAGCAATGTACATATTTGACAAACTAAACACTACGGACATCCTAATTTTGTTTCAGGTCGGTTTGACCAACTACGCTGCTGCATATTGCACCGGCCTGCTGGTCGCCCGTCGTGTACTTAACAAGTTGGGCCTTGACTCGCTTTATGCAGGATGTACAGAGGTGACTGGCGAGGAGTTCAACGTAGAGCCCGTCGACGACGGCCCGGGCGCTTTCCGTTGCTTCTTGGATGTTGGACTGGCTCGCACAACAACAGGAGCTCGAGTGTTCGGTGCCATGAAGGGGAGCTGTTGATGGTGGTTTAAACATTCCCCACTCAGTAAAGCGTTTTCCCGGCTATTCGGCAGAGACCAAAAGCTTCAATGCCGATGTGCATCGCGCTCATATTTTTTGGCCAACATGTTGCCGACTACATGCGCATTCTCGAAGAGGAGGACGAGGAAAGCTTCAAGCGCCAATTTAGCCGTTACATCAAGTTGGGCATACGTGCTGATGATGTGAGTACAAGCATAATTTCTCCCGACGTCCACTTTTTAAATTACAGCTGCGTTTTGCTTCCAACAACGCAGCCTGTGCCACTAGTGGACCACATAAAAGCAGTAAACTGTGTTCGAAGTTCTGACGCTTAACAAACTGAACTTCCTGTTATGGTTGCACATTCCGTCCGTATAGTCAGTTCAATAAATGTTAATCACTTCTTACTTTTTCAGCTTGAGGATATCTATAAAAAAGCCCACCAGGCAATTCGTAACGACCCTACCCATAAGGTGACCGCTAAGAAGGTTTCTGGCGTTACGAAGAAGAGGTGGAACGCTAAGAAACTCACAAACGAGCAACGCAAAACCAAGATTGCCGCCCACAAGGCAGCTTATGTGGTCAAACTCCAGTCGGAGACAGAGGCCTAGAAACGCTTGTCACTCGTTGCAATTCAGATTGATATGAAAATAAATAAACATTTGAAATTGCCAATACTACGCATGCATTTAAGTCATTTGAGTCAGTCATTTCTAGTCTTAACAATATTTAAGGTAGAAAACAACGATGGCGGTGGTAGGAGTTGTTTGATTTGGGTGCCCAAAATATTATGGTCGGCACGTAATCGGGATTTTTTGGACAATATTGATTAAGAAACTACATATGTCTCTCACTTTTGCAACAGATTTTGATTGTCAATACTATGAACAATTTTTTCGAAAAATAACTCAAAGTACATTTTTTAAATCCGAAAACTTTTCAGAAAAGTAGTTTTCAATCGAAACAATATGTTGAATATTTTGGATGTTCCTTAAATGTCTGAATCTTTAAACTGTTGAATATTCAACAACAGCTACTAGTCAATTGTTCTAGCATTGCTCGACTTAGCTTTTACGTGAATTGTAGGAACTATTTGGTATAAGCAAACAAAGATGTTTAGAATGTTACATTAAGCAACGAACCGTCTAAATTTCTTTGTTTGCATATATTTGTTGAATACTTTTATGTTGGGACCTGTGTTGCCTTTTAAAAATTAGTAGAAATGGCGACCATTCGGCTTTTCAGATACTCAACCAACTTAAGACAGTTGAATAGTCCCCAATTCGGTCTTTGAAATATGCTGTCAAAGTTGAAATATCAGATTTTACACAAGGTTGTTTCCATTCACACATTGTAATCTTCGTGTTTAAATAATTCAAGACGCGACAAGAGACAGCTCTTGTGTGACCGACGGGAAGGGAGGAGGCGAAAATCGTATAATGTTCACTTACCCTACAATTACGAATGCATTACTTTACCTCCAGAAATCAGGAGAATGGATTACAACTTGGATTACTTTCAATAGGCATGGCCGCCTTGTAATACAAACTGCATTTCTAGTAATGGAAAACGTACGAAAACAACTTATACTTTGGATATTCTCCAAAACGACTAAACTTAACTATGTATATTATTTGCATATTTTTTGTGGTAACTTTCATGTTGGGACCTGTGTTGCCTTATTCATTTTATTATAACAGAGCCACTATCGTGGCTTTTCAGCAGTTCCTCATTTTTTAGCAGCCTTTGGTCTGCTGAACTGCTAAAATTTCAATGGAACAGCTTACGAACCGCTGACTGAATTTCAGCAGTTCAGAGATTAAGTCATTAAGTTGTAAAGAAGTCGAATTTAAATAAAATAAAATAAAAATAAAAAATTTTTTCCCCAAGTAATAAGTGAACCTAAGTCTAATTTTCCTTTGTAACCACTCCTTAAACTACACCTAATGCCGTCAGCACCAGAGTTCTAACACGAGTAAGATCGAGTCAACTAGATCACCATGACGAAATTTCGCTCAATTTAACTCAACGCACTCGGCAGTAACGAGATCGTATGTGATGCATACCCGAAATAAAAATTCAGAGAGCAAGCAGGCTCGATGCATTATTTTGCTTTTTTGTGCTTTCAATTCATCGTCTCGCTTCGGTTCGATCAGCATGATTATTATTTGCTTCTTATTCCTGTGTAAAAAATGCAGATCATTGTTGTTCAGATTTTGTGTACGATGCGAATGAGTTAATTGGGAGCGATCCAAAAAAATTAGAGAGTCATATTTCGTCCCCTTTAACAAAATATTCTCTTTAAAAGTTGAAATTTAGATTACATCTTCCGAATTTGGTGCGCTAAGGCTTTGAATTTTTAAAATTGACTGCAAAGTTGGAGGTTCTTCAAAATAAATCTGAATTTCTCACACATTTCTAAAGGAGCTGTAATAGTGTTTATATCTTTAAAACAATATCGAAGAATGGAAGTCCTTTTACGCCTAGAAAAACCTTAACATAATTTTTATTTGACTTTTATTTTTTTTATCAAGAATAATGATTACTTTTGAGCAAAAAAATATAAATCAAAAATAATCATTCTGGATATTCCCGAACCTTTTCAAAATTTCAGCATTTCAACAACCCAGAGGCCGCTGAAAATTTTGTTGAATTGCTGACAAGCCCGGGTAGTCGCTCTTTCCTACTGAAATAAAGAAGGTAACACTGCACCCAACATGAAAGTTAAATAATTAAATGTCTCCTTCACTGCGTGGTAAACTTGTGACTGGATTATAATAAGGGTATAAAAATTAAAGGACAAACCGTAATTTTCTTTAAGAAAGGCATAAATATGTTTAAAACTTTAAACTTTCGACGCATTCCAGATCCCTGAAGCTCCCTTTCCTTTTTGTTCGAGACGGGACAAAAAGCAAGTCTTCTTTTTAGAACCGATCTAAGAACGAGTCTTAATGCGTTCGATTGGAAGGTAGTTTCAACTTCGGAAACGCTCGGGTTTCCCTTCCATTTGTACTTTACGAAGGAAGCATTCTACAGCGCACTGTTAGAATGAACATAGAAACGTTCCTCGGGAACCTTCCTGGGTAGGTTCCAAAGCAAGCATTGCGTAACACATGTAAAGAATAAATATTGATCCCTTCCACAAGAACACATTTAGTATGATTCCAAAACATGCCTTCTAATAGTCTTACCCAAGAATGCAAATATTATCGTTCCCAAAAAAAAAAGCTATTGGGAACCTTTTTTTCAATTCCAATTTTTATTTATTTCATTTTTTTTTATAAACGTTTGATTTTAAATTTATTGTAATTAATTATAATTACTATAATTACTCCGGGTCGTTTTTTTTCTTTTCTCATCCTTTCTGCATACTTTTAGCCTTGTAAATTTTTTTCTTAGCCCTAGTGAAGGCCAGTCAAGGTCTTTTATGTGGTCGGTTAAGTGGTAACCGTTCCCTCCTTTATGATATAATAATGAGAAAATATAATATAAAAATATAATAATGAGAAGGAAATATGTAATTTTTTAAAATATGATTGTAAGTTTGTAAACACTTACCGAATAATGTTTCATTTAAATGAATGTAGGACGCAAAACCTTCCCTGTCCCTAGTACCGCCATAATTAAGCTCCATTATCAAACTTGGACTTAATATCCTACTGAAGATCTAGATTTTCCGAATTCAAAAGTTTTTAAAAAGTGCATCAAGTTGAACTCTAGTAACATTATTATTATGGTACCATTCCAATAATTTTACATAGGTATCATACTCAAAAGGATAGTTTGATGCACTTTTTATCCGATTCGGGTTCACATAAATTTGGGCATTCATTTCCAGAATTATTTTCTGTATCAAAAGTAAGAGCTCTAGCAGCCGATTGATGAAGCTCTTCTTAAACGGTGAATATTTGATTACGACATTCTCCTCATTTTAAATTATATTAATTTTGTTTATTTTTGTAAAATATTTTTTTCAATTAAGTTATTAAAATTTTTATTTATGTAATGTTTAATGTTTATTTAAATTTCGGTTTATTTTCTTAAATTTTGTTCCCTTAATTTGTGTCCTTAGGTCCACCCTAAAAACACAACTTGTACGTAGATGTAAGTCCACCCTAGGTAGAAGTACAAGGAAGAGAAAAAAAGAGAGCACACAAATAATATATAAATTACCTTTTGTCTTAAATAGTTTTCCTGGAATCAAACGAAAATAATATTAAAAACGCATTAATTAAATTAAAACGAAGTCTTATTGCAGTGTACGCTCAAAAAAATAATTCTTTTTTATTTGTTTGATTAAGAGCACACACACAGTTTTAGGAACAATTTGTTTACATTTGTTTTGACCGTACGCTGTTTTGAAGACTGTTAATAAATGTTTATAAATTTAATATTTTTGGCACAGGTACACATCACTTATTGTTTTAATTAATACAGTGTTTGGTTCATGTTATTTTATTAACAGTTATTGGAACTCCTATTTAGTTTGTTTATATCAACATTATACTTACTTGAAAATTAAAGCCACAAAAAGAATATATTAATTTCACAAATCCCAGAGGTACCAGCTATTCCAATTGAAAATTCAAGTGGCGAGAAATGCAAAAGAAACGAAAAGAGCCTCGCGCTTTCTTGCATTTTCTCTTTTGTTCTTGTCGTTTGCTTTTAGAGTACCGTTTTGTTCGGTTACTCCTTGAAGCGCCGGCAAATGTAATATAATAATTCAAAACAAAATCACGCTTTGAAAAAATCGCCAAAATCATGTAATCGTGTATATATTATTACCTAAAATTAAAATATATAAAAAACTGATTCAAATTAATAATTTTCTAATACTATATACAATAAATATTATTATTAATAAAATTAAATATTAATATTTTTACAGAATTAGATTTAGGAAAAGTTTAACAAGTCATATACCACAAACATAACAAAGCGTTCAGATATTGTTTATAAAGATAAAAAGTGAATATATTTACGTCGCTGCTGTTCATTAAGAAAAATAGATTAAATTGGTTTCCCATTTTTGTTCATTAAGAAAAATAGATTAAATTGGTTTCCCATTTTTTTTTTCCATTCCGAAACAAGACTTCTTTTGCGTTCTTTGGTAAGCGAGGTTTTCGGTGGAAAAACCACAATCTCAAAAATATCGGACGATCGGCATCGTTCGGGTTTCAGTTTTTTTTACATTGTAAAGAAGGCTTTTTATGCATTGTAGTAGAAGGGACGATTTCACAAAAACTCTTTAGAATGCATAAAAATGCTTCTTTATAGCTTCTTACATTCATTTTTTCTCCCAAAACATGCATGAAAGAAGCTTTTTTTAATGGGATACGTTCTCTACTTTCCGACTGGGCTTTAAACGATTTCTACAAATATAATCTCTCTCCCTTCTTTGCTTTCCCTCCATCATTAATCTTCAAAGCTATGTATGAGATTTCGCATGTTTGTATTGTATAATCTTTGATAGAAACTTTGTTGGGTAAACTCGCTTACTTGGAAGCAAGTTCAGTTGCTCACTTTTTATTGAGTGAACAAACTCACTAACTTTGTTCACTCACTTGTTGGGTTGCTCAGTTGCTTACATTTTCAGTTGCTTAGTTGTTCAGTTGCTCATTTGTTCAGTTGTTTAATTACTCAGTTATTTAGTAGATCAAGTTTGCTCATTAAGATTCAC